TCTTCAGTGGTGGAGGCTCAGGCAGGCTGTATACAAGCTACTGCCAGCTGCTCCCTCTCTGGTGGACTTTGGTACTGCATGTTACTTCCGCGATTTAGATCCAGGGCTTTTCATGAAACATCCAGGGCTCCAGCCCAAGTAGCCGGGCCTAACGCCGCCCCTGAAGGAGGCCCTGCTTTTTTCTCATTCTTCCGGGCTGTTTCTTTTTTTTTTTATTAGTGTCTCGATTCAAAGATCAACTTCTTTACAGGAAGAGTCATATTTTACTTTTGCAGCACAAAACTCCCCCTCCACCTTTGCAGGCCTGTTCTTGATCTTTGTGGTTTAACGCCTCCTCGCCCAGGCAACAGCCGAGGACCCCTTCTTCTTTCCTTCCTGTCCTTCACACATGCAGTTCTGTGACCTTCTGTGGCCCCTGTGACCTTTTTGTTTAGCTTCCATGCTCTTGTTTCTAAGAGGTCAAGCTTGCACACTTTTAGGCCTAGTCCACACGTAGCCGGGTTTTTTTTTTAAAACGAATGTCCGCCCCTCCAAAAACTTGCATCCACACCACCTCGTTTAAAAAAAAACCCTGTCCACACATACCCGGATAAATACGTTGTTAAGGACATGCCAGACCTGTAGGCGGCAGTACTTCCCCCGTTCTTAACCTCGTCCTTCGTCTGTGGTCTTCCGCTAGGAGCAGTAATCCCGCTTGCAAAAACAAACAAGCAAAAAGCGCTTGGACAATTGATAAAGCGAGCGCAGCTCTGAGGGCATCCATGCTGTCGGCTAGTGTAAACACAGGTCGCACACATGTTGTCAGCATTTTTTGTCGCGGAAAGTGACGTTGCGGACCTTAAAACTCCGGTTTTGTCCGTCCACACGCAGACACCCAAAATGGAGAAAACGCAGATCTTCACTTTGGCCGGAGTTTTTAAAAAGATCCGTTTTCGTGTGAAAAAACTCCGTTTTCGTGTGGACGGCAGGCCAAAACGTAGAAAAATATCTACGTTTTGGCAGATCCCCGGCTACGTGTGGACAGGGCCTTAGAGTCTTGGTTCTGACAAACCCAGTCAGCTTGCTCTCTTCCACAGAACTGGGTGCAGGAGACGGGGGTCAGTAGGGCTGGAGGTCAGTGTTTTCCACACAGAGAGGAGCCCGGCCCAGACTCTATTTAATCAGCGAGTCTGCCCCCGAATCTCTTCTCTTCTCTTGTCTGTTAGTTGGCATTTGTGGTCTTTTCCTGAACGGCAATGGCATTTCATAATTTCCCTTTTTCGTTTGTACTATGCCTTCCTCAAGTTTTTGGAGGAATAATAGATCCTCTTGTGACACAGTCTTTTCATTTCTCTCAGCATCTTTGAAGTCTCTTTCCAAAACACGTATTGCGTCTGCTGGAGTGGAAGGAGGAACCTCTTTAACAGTGCGTCTGTGACAAAGCCTGGTTGCCATGTCTGTTTTCTCTTCGGGGTCTGAGTTGCCAACAATGCTCCATCCCAAATCAGTCCGAAGAGCATAAGGCTCATTATCTTTGCCTAAGATTACTTGTTTAGGTGCTAGAGCTCTAGGACAAGTATAACCTATGAGGAGACTTACCTCACAACTGAGAAGTGGAGGGATTTCATCGGCAATGGGCAGCAAGTGGCTCCACTGTTTGGCTGTTTCACATGTGGGTATGTGTTCTCTGTTAGCAGGGATGCAGTCCTTTGAATATGCCGTAGGAAGCTTTATGACTGTGGCTGAGTTATAGCCTCTCACCAAGAGATCAGACACCCTTTCACTGCTTACAACTGCATTTTTCCCCATCATGGTAGTCAGTTTTAGCTTTACTGGGCAAACATCTGCCTGCAGCTCATGTGTTACATCCTGATCAATGAAGACAGCATCACTCTGCGTGTCTAATAGCGCATAAAGCAGTTTTTCTTTGAGTGGGTTGTTAGCAGTTGACAGCCACACTGGAACTATCAGTGATGTGCTGATTGTGTGTTCAGGTGTGGCAACATTGAGTGGCATAGCTGTCGCTGCTGCAGGTGAGTTAACTTGAGTTCCATTATTTACACTCACATGTGTCTCCTTTTGCAGGCTGTTCCAATAATTATCGTCATGAAGACAGGTAGGATGCCTCTTTGAGCAGGTGTCACAACTGAAGCGGCGTTTGCAGTCTTTGGCATTGTGACCTTGTTTTAGACAACCATAACAAAGTTTCTTCTCCTTCACAAACTTTCTTCTGTTTTCTAGAGACAGTTTTAAGAAGTCTGGACACTTGTGGAGTGGATGTGCAATCTGACACAGAACACATGAAAAATCCTTTGATGTTATTGTTATTGACTGTGTGTTACTTTGTTTTGTTGAATTTGTCTTAAAAACACTTGCTTTGTTCCCTTTTGGTTCTCTTGTGTTTCTTTTGTCGCTGTTAGTTTCAGAGTATCGAAGGGCATGAATGGAGGTGAATGGGTTACATGCAACTTCAGCTTCAACAGAGAGAAAGGATGCAAAGTCACTAAAACTTGGAAACTCACCACCTTCCATTAAAGTCTTTGTTACCTGTCTGTTCCATCTTGCATTTATCCAATCTGGTAGTTTGTGCAGTAATCTTTGATTTTCCTCGCAGCCGTTAAGTATTTGCAAACCCTTTACATGAGGCGTAGCGAGCAGGCATGCATTTAGGAAGTCCGCAAAAGTTCTTAATCCATCAGCATCTCTGGACTGCACCTTTGGCCAGTTTGATAGCTTCTCTCGGAATGATTTCTGTACAATAAAGGGCTGGCCGTATCTTTGGTTTAACTTGTTCCAAGCGTCCTTATATGCGGCTTCATCACTCCTAAAGAAAGTCCCTTCAGTGCATTTGCGAGCTGACCCTGTTACATTTCTTTTTAAATAGTACAGTTTATCTGCTGCTGAGATGCCCTTTTGATCGATCAGTGATGTAAATGTGGATTTCCATTCAATAAAATGCATTGGGTCGCCACTAAAAACTGTTGGTTCTGGCGTAGGAAGTTTGTTTAATCTTATGCTGTCCTGAGCTGCCTGTGCTAGCTGGGTAACACTGGGGGGGGGGCTGTTTAGGTGTGATGTTTGGGCTCACCCTTTCATCTGTAATTGACTGTACATCACCCACTTGTAGTAAATGCCTGTCATATGCTTCAAATCTGGCTCGAGCTGCTTTCACGTCCCTTTGTGCTCTCAGGCGTTCTAACTCTGCATTTTGAACTGCCACCTGTTTTTTATGCTCTTCCTCTAGAGCCCTTATTTATCTTGTTGTCTTTGTTCCTCCAGCGCGACCTCATACTCAACCTCTGTCGCTGCTAGTTCTGCTGCTGCTTCAGCTCGTTTTGCTGTAAGATGGGAAGCTGAGGATCGCTGGCTGTGATTTGATGCTGCAGTTGATCCATATATGGAAATGGCGTATTCATGCTCTAAAAGTTCACGTAAACGAGCTTTTTTACAATCTGCATTAAAATCTCCATCAACACCACTTATTCCTTCCAGAATCATCCCTATGATCTCCCTAGTTACTGCTTCACATGCATCGATCTTTCTCCTTACGTCAGATGATGGTGCCATTTGGGTTCTATTTTCTGAATATAACTTTAATATATCATCTCTCCTTTCTTCTATTATGTCAGCAAGTTCTGACATCTCCTTCACTGTTATATCTTCCTTTAATTTTTCTCTTGTTTCACGTGCCTGTGCTTTCCATTGCTCATAAAGGACAAGCATTCTTTTTTCCTTTTTGATCATTTCTTCCCGTAGATATATTATCATTTTTTCTGTTTGGACTTTAACTCTTTCAGAGCGTCTTGGCAGATCTGACGTGTTTTGAATTTTATCTTGAAGTTCACTTATCATTTGTTCTTTGCATTTGATTGAATCTTTAATGTCCTGTCTCGCATTACTTTCATCCTGAGGTGAGTCCTTTAGGTCTTGAATTTCCCTTTGCAGAGTTGTCATCTGTTCAGTTAGGGCCGTTTCACTTACTGTTGCAGCCTGTAAGTCTTCCATTTTACTTTGCCTTGATCCGTTTCAATTCCTGACCAACTTCTGCCCTCTGCTGGATGTTGCGGGTACTGCCGTTGAACCTTGAAACCACACCGTGCGGCACGAGGGGGCGGTCAAGCTCTTACTGTAGCATTCAGTCAATATGGAGAAGGCCAGAACTGATGGTAAATGGTGATTTATTGAACCGTCCGTATCATCAACCAACGTAAGAGCTAGGCATAAACAAAAAATAATAATAAATAAAACATTTTCATCATAAACTAAACCATAATGCATAACTGATACAATCATATAGGTACCCATACACGTTCCGTTTTCACATCAACATTCTGAATTATAGTTACAAACCTTGTTCCCCTTATCAACTGAAGCTAGGCAGAAGTATTCAAACTTTCTGTGTCTTCTTCTCCATTGACCGTTAATAGTCCACCCTTTGCTCCGTCTTTCCTTCTAATAGATTTACGTTTGCTTCTTCTGTGTTGCGTCTCCCTACTTAGCCACGGTTACTATGACACAGTCAAAATAAAAGCCCGTACACCTTTACCGTTGTTAAACATAAAGAAATAGTTCACCTTCACACCCCTCTTCCTTGATGTTTCCCCATTGTCTCAGCTTGCCGATCCCAAAAAACGGAACTCCAAATCCATCGATTGACGGGTTAAAATCCTGACTGTTGCTTGTAGCCATGTCTCAAAAAACGCCATCAAACAGTACTGGTCAAAAACCTAGTGATGTCGGACACACGCCTGAAGTTCATTCACTTTGTTCCTCAGCAACTGGACATTCCCCAGAATGACTGAGGGTAAGGGATTAAACTGGTGTTTCTTCATGCGCACTCACACTCCACCGCGCCTGCCACAGTTCCTTTTTATCATGCTGTAGCCACCTTTAGCCCTCTTCCTGACGTGTAATGGACCGGTGTTTCTTTCAGATGTGTTTTGGGGAGGTTGAACTGAGTTAGACGTTTAACTTTGTGGTGTTTTGTGATGATATCATTGTGTCTTCTTCCTGTGTTTCAGAGAGATCCATCAGTATTTCTTCTTCCTCTCATCATCTGAGTGCCCATCTGCCCATTTCTTCTAAACCCTGGACCTCCTTGCCTTCTCCTGCCTCCTCTGCTGCGCAGGTACAGCCACCTCTTTATGTTGCTCGAGGTCTCACAGAGACTCGGCTGCAGGACTTTGATGGATGTCAAGCCAGAGAACTGGAGGAAAACTCTGTGAGTCTATGTTCCGACTTTTATTTTGGTACTTTAAAATTTCCTGCTTTGTGCTGTAAGTCTGAAGAGCAGACCTTCCTGTTTTCTGGTTTTCAGTATGCAGGAATCCAGTTGGTTGATGACATCAACAATGAGGTAAATGCTTCAGACTACCATAGGACACATGCCTAGGAAGCAGTAACACCAGCAGCACCAGTAGAACCAGTACCAGATGCACTATGGCGCTTACACATTGGCGTCGGCATGGCCGGGAACGGGACCAGTATAGAACCGGAATTTGGTTTCACACATGGGTTAGATGAGCATTTTCCGGTCAGAGGCAACTCTTATTTTTCAGATCTCCTTCCCAGCGGTCAGCGTGGGACCAAGGTTACACTACGGACTGATTAGCCAGCTGAAATTACATCTACTGCCTCCAGTTAGTGAGTAGAATCAGCCAGTGGAGGGTTCCCGCGTGCATGATTCATTTTCATTCTGAATGCTGTTAAGAAAACGTCTCTGTCTGTAGCACTAAGCTGCTGCTCAGTAGGAACGGGTAAGAGAGTGAGCTGTGTGTCCCTGCCCTCTGCATCGGAGCTTTTGTCCCAGAGAGCCAAAAGACAGCTGCTCAGTAGAACTGCTCAGAGGCGAAAGCAGCTTGTGTGTGGCCCGCAGCAGTGGAGGACAAGATTATCAAGAGGACCCACATAGTAAATTAATAAAATAATGTGGTTCAGAGTCTCAAAAGCAATACAGCTCATGCCCGCCTTTGTTTATTATGAAGGACACCGTGGACTTTCCTGCATGCAATAAATGCTGCTTATTGGCTTGGGAATTCCCCATTTCTGAGAACTCCTTCAAATTTATAGGTGAACGCTACACTGCCCAGACCAGACCGCACTCACACCATTCAGCCCCACCAAGCCCCGACCGCGCTGATGCTGATGTGTAAGCGACACTAGCTGCACCAGTGATCTGGCCAAGAGGCAGCAGCAACAGACTAGTGATGTGCCGTTCACGAACGAAAAGGCTCTTAGATGTGACTCTGAATAGACCAATCAGAGCCGGCTCAGTCTCAGAGGAGCCAAATTGGAGTTGTTTTTCCTTTCTCGGTCCCTTTCTCTCCATGTTTAAGCCACATGTCACATCATTGATCAACTCCTCGATGAGCCCTCTGCTCTGCTTCTCACCCCTTCTTTCCAGCGGAGCCGTCAGCAGCACGTTACTGCAGCAGCACGTCTTGCTCGCGTAAGCTGCTGCTTGGCCCTTCCCACGAGACGCGAATCAGCAGGGGAGCAGCTGTCACCGACCGAGCACGAAGTCCCACGAGTGACTTCGTCAGTAAACACAACAACAAGCAGGAGAAAACTACAACATGGTTTGTGTTTTATGTTCTGTCCGTTTTATAATCGCCAATACGGACCTGAAAAACAAAGGAGACGGCTAGCTAGGTGATAACTTCTCACGGGGACGCACAGTTAGTAACCTTTTTAAAAAGGCAGTAAAGCAACCAGAAGGCAGTACGTTTCTTTATTCTGAAAATCTCAGGAGCTTCTCTCCATTTCCGCGTCCGATTTCCTGTCTTTCCTTCCCCAAAAATGTGGAACTTGACCCGTTTCAGAGGCGTCGCGTGTAGAAAATAGAACCGGCGCGTAAAGGCCGCGACATGCTGCTCCTGAGACGCGGCCGACTCGCGCTGCTGACGGCTGCTGACGGCTCCGGTATGGAAAGCCAAAACCGCCAAAATATGCCACTTTCTCAACCCGCCTAGTTAAGAGATGGTGAAAAAAATGCCGTTTGATGTGTCAAGACGTCGTAAAATACGGCGAAAAGTCTCCCAGAACGCCGTATTTGACGCCAGCCAGAGGCGTTCTTAACGGTCCCGTAGAACGCCCGGAAAAAACGACGTGTTTTTTCTGGACACTGAACGCCGTTCTTTATGTCACCCTAATCCCAGACGCGTTCCCTGTGTGGGTGGCGTAAAAAACGGCGTTTGGTACGGACTTTGAACGCTGCTTTTTTCGCCGATCTGTGACATAAAACGCCGTTTTTAACACCACTTTGTGACAGTTTTCACGCGTTTAAAATTCAACGTTACTCTCATTTATGCAGAGCCCTCCCCCTGGGTTTCTCATCCACTTAATTTAAACTCCAGGGACCCAATGAAAGAAGAGGAGGGAGAGGCAGCACTAATTCATCCCAGATTCGCCGGGCTGAGCGGATTGCTGTTTTCTAATACAACTCTGCTCTGTTTCAACTAATTTCACTGTATTGAAAAAGCCTTGAAATGTAGCAATATTATCAACAATGTGTCAGCATTATTATTTTTCTGTCTACCTAACCTGTCTACCTGTAAAAGGCAGAAACCTGATGATTACTTAAAAGTGTGGCTGCCCCGTATCAGTCTGTCCTCGTTTCGTGAGTCCAGCTGGAACATCAGTGCTGTTTCTGTCCAAAACTCCATTCTTCTTAACCCTCTGATGCATGAATTATGAAATCTTCAACCATGATTTTTTAAACAATTTTTTTCATTCATCTTTAGGTGTGAATGAAACAAATTTCAACAAATATTTTTGTAACATTTTGTTAATTTACAAATAATTTATTACATGTCTACCTCAGTGGACAGCGTGCACTCTGAACATGAAATATGTTGGCTTGACTTGCTGAAGCTCAAATGGAGGGGCTCAAATGCAATAAAGTCTAACAGCTGTGCTTAATAGCAAAAATAAATAAATAACAATTTTGAGTCCACTGTAGTGACCATTATGCATCAAAGGGTTAAGCTCATCCACTTTCAGTATTTACTATTGTTTTTGTTGTTGTTGTTGTTGTTTTTCAATTATTGTTATACGTGTCTTACAGGAGCTTCTGAAGATGTTCTGTCTTGCTTCTCCATCATCACTCTCCAGATCCTCAGACCAGCCACTCCAGAACCTTCCCAGATCCAGGATCAGAGCACTTTAATGCTTGTTGTTCTCCTACAGAAGCCTTAAACTAGAATTTGCTAATGAGCTTTCTTGGCTAAAATATGCTCTTGAATGTTTTTATTTACATTAATATTTCAAGACAAACGTTTTTCATTGCTGCTTCACCAAGACATGACTCTGAAAATGTCCTCATGATCCTGAAACGCTGGTGAAAACAAATTACTTTCAACCTCTTATAAAACAAACGTGTCTGTTGATGATTATGCCCACTACAATACTGAAGCACCTGCATACTTGAAGACAAGCATTAAAGTGCTCTGATCCTGGATCTGGGAAGGTTCTGGAGTGGCTGGTCTGAGGATCTGGAGAGTGATGATGGAGAAGCAAGACAGAACATCTTCAGAAGCTCCTGTAAGACAAGTATAACAGTAAAAAAAAACAACAACAACAAAAACCAATAGTAAATACTCAAAGTGGATGAGCTTAAGAAGAGGGGAGTTTTGGACAGAAAGAGCACCGATGTTCCAGCTGGACTCAGCCCGGCGAATCTGGGATGAATTAGTGCTGCCTCTCCCTCCTCTTCTTTCATTGGGTCCCTGGAGTTTAAATTAAGTGGATGAGAAACCCAGGGGGAGGGCTCTGCATAAATGAGAGTAACGTTGAATTTTAAACGCGTGAAAACTGTCACAAAGTGGTGTTAAAACGGCGTTTTATGTCACAGATCGGCGAAATAAGCGGCGTTCAATATCCATACCAAACGCCGTTTTTTATGCCACCCACACAGGGAACGCGTCTGGGATTAGGGTGACGTAAAGAACGGCATTCAATGTCCGGAAAAAAACGTCGTTTTTTTACGGGCGTTCTACGGGACCGTTAAGAACGGCTCTGGCTGGCGTCAAATACGGAGTTCTGGGAGAGTTTTGCCGTAATTTACGACGTCTTGACACATCAAACGGCGTTTTTTTCGCCATCTCTTAACTAGACGGGTTGGGAAAGTGGCGTATTTCGGCGGTTTTGGCTTTCCATACTCCGGTGGAAAAGGTTCTGTTGACCACAGTGGTTCCTATCAGCAGCCATGACGTGCTGCTGCAGTAACGTGTTGCTGACGGCTCCTGTGGAAAGAAGGGGTCAGTGTTTCTGCAGCGAGCAGGAGAGGTAAGGAGGAACGGGGGACAGGTTCTGGTGTAAACTCACAGAGCAGTGGGAGGAGGAGGGTGTGAAAGGGGAGAAAAACAGTCTCCAGAAAGGTGAGGATGTGAGTGAAAGCAGCAAATGCAACCAGATTTGGACATATTTCACTAATACTGACAATTCAAAGGAAGAGTGTGGACTATGCAAAGCAAAAATATCTTTTCAAGCAGGTTCTACAAAGTTGTCTGTGTGATTATCTTAGCTTTTCTAAGTTGTTTACCTGTAAATAGTTAAGTCTTTAAATATTTTACATATAGAGTTTATTTTTGTTTTGTTGCATTCTGTTTAGTGTTGGATAGTCAGAAGTTATTGTAATGATTTGTAAGTAGTCACTTTTAATAAATTGTCAATAGAATATAAAGGTATTCAATTAAATGTAATATTCCATAAAAATATGAATTATCAATATTAATATTTGATGATGAAACTACCCTAATTTCTGGCCTACAAGCCGCTATTATTTCCCTGTGCTTTGAAGCCTGTGCCCAATATCATGGTGCGGCTCATGTGTAGATTTTTGTTGGCCAACAACCACCAGAGGCACTCTCCAGCAGTAAAGTGAGACACGCACGGCAAAACGTTACGCGTGGAAGAAGACGCTCTTTGATTTAAAGCGGCACGTTTACACATCAGACACACCCTCGTCATGGAAAACACGCGGAGGAATGCATATGCTGCAGCTTTCAAATTAAAAGCGATCGATCTGGCCATCAAACAAGGAAACAGAGCCACTGCACGGGAGCTTGGCATGAAAGAATCAATGGTGCGACGTTGGAGGCGGCAGCGGGAAGCACTCAGTCAATGTAAAAAAACAACAAAAGCTTTCAGAGGAAATAAAAGCAGATGGCCGGAACTGGAAAACATTCTTGAAGACTGGGTGAACACTAGAGCTGTAGCAAAGCGTCGATGACGTCGACGGCTCAATTCTAAAAATTCGTCGACGTCAGATCCGGTAGTCGACGCACCACGGCCACTTTTTGAATCCCCAGGAGTTTGTAAATAGAGGAGGAATCTGCCTGTTTTTCCTCCAGTTCTCCACCCTCACTAACATCTCTGCCAAATACCGAAGAACCGGAACAATGTCCGTCCACTACTAGATTCCTTTCCTGTTTTGCCCGTCTTCGTCTCCCGGCAATGGACAACAACTTCCGGGGTCAGATGCGCTGCTTCGTCTCTATCGCAGATGTAGAACATCACCGGGAGCGTTTCTCCCTTCATAAAGGAGCTTCTTTCAGACATTAGGAGAGCTGGTTTGGTGGTAGCGGTCTCTCCTCCGTGCTGGTCTGTTTGCTGCTGGGTATTTTTGGTTTATTTAAACTTGGTAACTTGAACTTAACGTTGGTAAAGCTACTGTTAGCATCTTCGCTAACAGCTTCTTGCGTTCGGATAAGCTGTTAAGTTTTGGTTTAGAGTTCATCTTTTTTGTGGTGCAGATCTCCCTTTTATTACATTTAGAGTGTTGTGGGTTTTCGGTTTAGTTTAAAACCTTGAGTTTGGTTTAACCGCCCAGTTTAGAGTTTGGACCTTTGGAGATCCTTATTTTGGTCCAGAACCCTGTAATCTTTGCCCAGTGGGACATCCCTACTTATTTGTACTTTTGTTTTAATTCCCCACAGGCAGGATTAGTTTTATTATTCCCAACCTGTGGATGGGAAGATTTATGATTTTTGTAGTTGTAAATAAACCTGATCATCATTTTAACTTTTAAATCCCGTTATCGTCCCTTCCTTTTTGCACACGAGCCAAACTCCCCAGGAAGGGTCGTAACACCACTCGCCTCACGCACATAAGTGACTAAAACAAAGCAGCATGGAGACACTCCGTCTCTAACCACTTCTCAGGCAGCAGCCTGCACTCCCAAGTTCTACACGTCACCAGAACATAACCAACCAACACAATACAAGCAGTGTTATACAAAATGCAAGGCCTGTAGTGTTTATTCTCTTACAGTAACAATTTATCACCTTTTTTGAGGAATTTATTAGAGATTTTCTTGTTTTTATTAATTGTGCAATAGTCATTAGAATAGTCGACATTCGGGAGGGACTCGGAGTAGAACCGCTGCTCCTCCGGATCGAAAGGAGCCAGTTGAGGTGGTTTGGGCATCTGGTCAGGATGCCTCCTGGACGCCTCCCCGGGGAGGTGTTTCGGGCATGTCCTGCCGGCAGAAGGCCCCCGGGGCGACCCAGGACACGTTGGAGAGGTTACATCTCCAGTCTGGTCCGGGAACGCCTTGGGGTCCTGCCGGAGGAGCTGGTGGACAAGGCCGGGGAGAGGACGGCCTGGAGCTCCCTAGTTGGGATGCTGCCCCCGCGACCCGGACCCGGATAAGCGGAGGAAGACGACGACGACGAGACTATTCGATAAAATAATCGTCAGAATAATCTTTTTAAAAATAACCGTTTACCCCCAGCCCTAGTGAACACACAAAGAGCAGACGGCCGAGGTGTTTCCACTGTGCAGATCATTACTAACCAGGCATGTTTTGTGTACAGTTTTTATTTTCTAATTATCCGGGGCTTGTTAATGCTGTGTCAGCACTGTTCTTTTCTTCTAAACAGACAGGAGCAAGGTGGAAAAGAGGAGGTTAGTGGAGAAAAGTTTGAAAAAGTGGCCGGTGACTGCAGCTAAGCCAAGCACAGGTGCCATCTTGTTACCGACCGGAAGCGGTGAGCTACATATGTTAGCAAAACCTTTCTTTAAGTATCTGAGAGAGATTGTGGAGTCTGAGTGGTAAAATCAGTTTGGTTGTATAGTTTGATAAGCTTGATAATATTATTAAAAACCATCCAACGCCATTTGTGTCGAGTTTACGCACCCTTGTGTGGAGAACCCCATGCAATCCCGGGGGTCAAGAGGTCGTGATGGACACTGCCAGTGGAGGGAACCTCTAGGTAACAGGTACCAGGTACCCTTAGATTAGCTCGGATATGACCCGTCTAGTCTGAGATACCTCCAGGTAACGGCAGTAAGCTGGAATGCTTGTTTAGCACCTGAGGCTGTTTGGTGGCTCTTAAAAGAGCCGTTGTGTCTGAAATCACTCGCAAAGCAGAGAAGCTTTGACCATGAGGTCAAAATGCTTGTTCACCTGACTGGCCTTGTCAAGGGAACGGCAAAGACTAACTAGATCAGGAAGTAATTTTTGTTTTGTCACCTTCATTGTTTGTAAATTTATACAAATCAGAATTTGACACGTTTAAAGGGCATTACCAAAATACCTCAGAGATCATGCCTTCACTCAGACACTAAGAGAGGTTAACTCTTAGTGTGAAGTGAGAATGTTTTTACACATTTATGTTAAGTGAATGTTAAACACTAATAATAATCTTATTATAATGTGTATTAATAAAGTGATAGATTAACTTGTTAAATTAACAAACACTGATCTGGTGTAGTTTAAGATCTGAAATGAATCATTGCAGGAAAAACATTCATTTTAACACATCATTGATTAATGCACACATAATCAAAACACTTTGGGATTGAACAAGATGTAGTGAAAATGATTTACACTATATTTTTATTAAAATGACCAATGAGATGTGATGATTCCATATAAATGTGAAATATTGATCTGATTTATCTATGAATGTTTAATCAGAAGATTCTAGTTACTTTACTTATTCAGGAATCATAAACACACTTCGTATTAATTCAGACAGAGTCAAGTATATAGTTTATAAAAATGAATTAATTTCTTTCCCCTAAACTAATAATTATACATGACAAGGTATGAATGTTGAGATGTGACGTTATGGATATGAAGTGATTTAATGTGATTTATGGAATGTTGTAATGGAAGCTAGATGTTGTATTAAAACTGTCTAAGTATCTGAGAGAATTTTTTAAATCTGGGTTGTAAAATAACTTGGCTGTATGTTTGTTAAATTAGAGATTTATTAATTTTTGTAAAAAATCATCCGATGCAATCTGTTGAGTCTACACACCCTTATGTGAAGATCCCCATTCAGATCCAGGGGCTCACGAGGTCTGAATGGACACTGCCGATGGCATGGACCTCGAGGTACCAGGAACCCGTAGATTAGCTCTGATACGACCCATCTAGTCTTGAGCTATGTCTAGGTCACAACAGGAAGCTGAAAAGCTTGTTTGCATCTAAGGCTATTGTTGGCTCTTAGAATCTTCATCATACTCCAGGGTTACTTGTGGAGTACCACAGGGTTCAGTGCTTGGACCAATTCTTTTTACCCCTGGGTGTGGCAGCCTCGTTACAGCAGCTCTGCTCATTCTGAGCTTCTTTTTCCCTTTTCTTCTCTCCCGTATCTTTTTTTTATGTTTTATTATTAATATTAGATTCGATAATCATGCTATTCCATCTGGAGCCGGCTCTGGTGGTTTTTTTGAGCTTTTCTTTACTTTTTTTATCTGTGCTGGGGGAAGAGGAGCAGAGATCCCTTGTCTACAGCAGGGATCAGCTGTTAGTGTTGCGTTCAACAGCGGCACTGCCAGTGGATAGACTCGAAATCCCCGGCGAGCTGAGGAGGAAGAGACGAGGATGTCGTGCTGGGAAGGAGCGCCGTCGCCCGAGAAGGAGACGTTATCGATCATCTCTTCCTTCTGTAATTATTGGAAATGTAAGATCTCTGCCCAATAAGATGGATGAGCTCTCATCGCTAACCCGATCACAGAGGGAGTACCGGCAGTGCAGCATTATGATGCTAACGGAGTCGTGGCTAACACCGCTAATCCCGGATGCGTGCGTGACACTACAGGGATTTCAGATGCTGCGTGCGGACAGAACAAGTGAAAGTGGTAAGAGGAAAGGTGGGGGACTAACGGTGTTTGTGAATGACAGCTGGTGTAATCCTGGGCATATCACAGTGAAAGAACATCATTGCAGCAGAGACATTGAGGTGCTAGCAGTTAGCATGCGTCCGTACTATCTGCCCCGGGAATTCTCGCATGTTATCGCGATAACAGTGTATGTCCCCCCCTCAGCTAATGCCGAGGCAGCCTGTGAGTCTCTTCACTCTGTGGTTAGCAGACTGCAAACGCAATCCCCGAGAGCCTTCTTTATAATATCTGGGGACTTTAATCATGCCTCACTGGACTCTACGTTGCCCACCTTCACCCAGTATGTGACCTGCCCGACCAGGGGAAATAAAACACTGGACCTACTGTATGCCAATGCTGAAAAGGCATATAGTTCATCACCTTTCCCTCCTCTGGGCAGATCTGATCACAACTTGGTGTATCTTGCTCCTGTGTATGAGCCCTTGGTGCGAAGGGAGCCACCAGCTACCCGTACAATACAGAGATGTTCGGAGGAGAGTGAGGGGGTCCTTAAGGATTGTTTTGATACAACTGTATGGGGGGTGTTCTGTGAAGATCATGGAGATGACATTGACAGCCTCACTGCATGCATTACAGATTATATTAATTTCTGTGTGGATAGCATTATCCCTATCAGGACTGTACGGTGTTTCTCTAATAACAAACCCTGGATTACTCCTGAAATAAAAAAAGCCCTCAAGCAGAAGAAGCGGGCCTTCAAACTCAGGGACAAGGAGGAGTTGAAAAGAGTGCAGAGAGAACTGAGGAGACTGATAAGGAATGGGAAAGACACCTACAGGCAGAGGATGGAGAACCAGCTTCAGCAAAGCAATGTGAGTGAAGTCTGGAGATTCCTTAGAACCATCTCAGGTCATAAACATCAGAACTCTCTGCCTGTGAGGGATGTGAGGTGGGCAAATGAACTGAATCAATTCTTTAATAGATTTGACTCGGCTACGAGGCAGACCTCAACGTCGGCTGCTGACTCTCCCACCCTCTCTACCACTGTTTTACCTCTGACCTCTCACCCCTCCTCACCTTCAGTAACAGTATCTAGTACACACTTTACGCAAGGTCCTGGCTGGTCCCTCTCTACCACACAGGTGAGGGGGGAAATGAGGAGGATAAATGGCAGGAAGGCAGCGGGTCCAGATGGTATCAGCGCATGGGTGGTCAGGTCCTGCGCGGACCAACTGTGTGAGGTAATCGGGCACATTTTCAACCTGAGCCTGAGGCTGGGAAGAGTCCCAAAGCTCTGGAAAACATCTTGTGTAGTTCCGGTGCCAAAAACTTCACGCCCCAAGGATTTTAACAGCTACAGGCCGGTGGCTCTAACATCCCATCTTATGAAGACTCTGGAGCGGTTGGTTCTGGTTTGGCTTCGGCGCCTAGTGGGCTCTTCACTGGACCCGCTCTAGTTTGCCTATCAAACTGGCATTGGTGCTGATGATGCGGTCATCCACCTCCTGCATCGCTCGCTCGCTCACCTGGAGACTGTTGGGAGTACTGTGAGGATCATGTTTTTTGATTTCTCCAGTGCCTTCAATACCATTCTTCCCTCGGTTCTGAAGGACAAACTGGTGAACGTTGGAGTGGATCATCACTTCGCTACCTGGATTCTGGACTACCTTTCTGACCGACCACAGTATGTGAGGGCTCAGGGCTGTGTGTCGGAGAGTGTCATCTGCAGCACGGGGGCCCCCCAGGGAACGGTTCTGGCTCCGTTCCTTTTTACCATCTATACTGCGGACTTCTCCTATAACTCAAATCAGTGCTTCTTGCAGAAGTTCTCGGATGACTCTGCGATTGTGGGTCTCATCAAGGATGGGGATGACAAGGAGTACAGGAGACTGACTCAGGACTTTGTGGACTGGTGCCAGCTGAACTATCTACAGATTAATGCCAGCAAAACTAAGGAGCTGGTGATAGACTTTCGTAGGCATACGCATTCCTCGCTTCAACCACTGAGCATACAGGGCATGGACATTGAGACTGTGGACAGTTACAGGTACCTTGGGGTCCATCTGAACAATTAACTGGACTGGACTCATAATTCAGATGCCCTGTATAGAAAAGGGCAGAGTAGGCTGTACCTACTACGGAGACTGAGGTCATTTGGAGTAGTGGGCCCTCTCCTGAAGACCTTTTATGACTCTGTGGTGGCCTCGGCCATCTTTTATGGTGTGGTCTGCTGGGGCAGCAGCATCTCTGCGGGGGATAGGAAGAGGCTGAACAGACTGATCCGCAGGGCCAGTTCTGTTCTAGGATGCCCCCTGGACCCTGTGGAGGTGGTGAGTGACAGGAGAATGACAGCTAAACTGTCATCCATGTTGGATAATATCTCTCATCCCATGCAGGTAACTTTGACAGCTATGAGCAGCTCTTTTAGTGGGAGACTGCGGCACCCAAGGTGTGGGACAGAGAGATTCCGTAGGTCTTTCCTCCCCACTGCTGTCAGACTTTACAACAAATCTGTCGGTTGAAGTGTACTCTGTATTTCTAGCTGTATCTAGTATGGTTATTATTTATTACTTTTTAACCCATTCTTAAGGTATAAACTGTCTATTGTATTGAATTTATTTTATCTCATTGCGGTCGGTTTTATTGTATTGTATTTTAATGTTTTTCTCCCTCTTCAGCATAACTTTTACTTTTACTTTGCTTGGCTGTAAACGAAACAAATTTCCCACTTGTGGGACTAATAAAGGTCATCTTATCTTATCTTATCTTATATATATATATGCTTCCAATTGGTAAAATCATTGGACAGCATGGGATAAACTTTCACAGTTATGCTGACGATACTACGTTATATGTATCCATTAACCCTGATGAACCTAATCGGTTAGTTAGATTACAGGCTTGTCATGAAGAC